GATCTGTTCTGTTCCGCTTTACGGAGGTTGTAAGTTTTCTTTATTTAATAAAATGCTATTTTAATTTATGTTTGCATAGTATGAGTTAGGGTCCGGATCTCTGGGTCCGGACTAGTTTGGTTGTTTATTTTTTATGTTAAATTAATGTTGGAATGGTTAGTCAATTGCTCTTACCTTATGTAGTTAATTATTGTCGAAAGATTTAATTAGCTATTTATTGAGAAAATATTGTATGCCAAAAGGCTACGATATTCAAGAACAACGGATTAAGTACAAATCTAGAAATGGATGAGTAGTAATAGAAATATTATTATTCCAATTGTTAATTTAATATGATAAAATAGATCCAAATGATGTCCAGACCCTAGGTCCAGATCTATACTTATACTATGTAAACTAAATTTATTATTTTTACTCTGCTCCCTTTTTATTCGTTTCGAGAAGACTTTCATAAACCAATCCTAATCTTTGCCTAATTAGATTAATTAAATTAATTCCCTTCGTCCACTCCTCGAGAGATACGACACTCGGAGAGAAAACTAACCCTTTACTGGGAAGGTTTACTACCCGAAAAACTACAACTGTCAGCCGCAGACGCCAAAGCCTTGGACATGGGCCTATTTTGACTGGGCTTTCAAGAAGGAATACATCCCAGCTCCTTTCCGTGAGGAGAAGCGCTTAGAATTCATGGAGCTGGAACAGGGGGACATGACCCTTGCCGAGCTACGATAGAAGTTTGATCACTTGGCTCATTTTGCACCCACGTTGGTGTCCACACCTGCTGACAGGATCGAAGAGTTCAGGAAGAGGTTGCGCCCTGACGTGCGACCTTATGCTTCTACCGTGGTCACCACTGACTTCTCAGAGGCGTATGATCTGATAGCGAAGGTGGAAAAAGCTGTGGACGATCTGAAGGGAAGCTTGGGTGCTGGAGGGACAGTTTCTAGCCAGCGACCCACTACCAGCGCGGAGCCAAGCGGGAAGAGATCCTTTGGAGGTACTAAGGGTACCCAAAACTTCAAAAAGACCAAGTCTGCGCCGGGTCAGTCACAGGCGGAGAGCAATCGAAGCAAGCCTTCCAGGCATCCGGTGTGCAATCTCTGTGGAAGAAACCACCCTGGTGAATGCTGGTTCACGCAGGGCTTATGCTTGGGATGCGGGAAGGAAGGACACTTCCGCAAGGATTGCCCGACTAATCCCGGACGTGCCTTCCCCGTAGCAGAGGTGCAGACACAGACAGCTGGACAGAGGCCAGCACAGAGCCAGAGGTCTACCGCAGGCTCAAACCCGCCAAGAGGACAGAATCAGAATCAAAACCGTCAGCAAGGGCGCATGCCTGCACGCACCTGTGCCATGCAGGGGCGTACCGAAGTAAACTGCGACGTCATCTTGGGTATGTTCTCACTATTCGACACTCCTATGCTTGCATTAATTGACCCGGGATCTACGTTGTCTTAGCTTACATATGTGTTCCAATGCCTGAGAAATCTGATATCCATAGGGGCGATCTAGAATACCCTATGGTAGTATCTAATCCGTTAGGGCATAGCATGCGACTTCATCATCTGTACCGCAACTGTCCGTTGACGGCCCAAGGACATCGGTTGTCCGCGAAGCTGATCGAGCTACCATACAAGGAGTTCGATATTATCCTTGGTATGGACTGGTTGACCGAGCGTCAAGCGATAATCGACTGTGGTTTGCGCACTGTGCGACTGAAGATTGACGATGGTGACGTGGTAGACGTCAAGGGGGAGTTGTTCCCCAAGCCTCCAGAATTTATGTCTTACATGCAAGCAAAGCGGCTGTTCCAGAAGAAATGCGAAGCGTTCCTGTGCCACGTCCGCGACACCAGAAAGGAGACCCCCAAACAGTAGGATATCCCTATAGTATTTGACTTCCCCGATGTGTTTCCCGACGATCTCCCTGGCTTGCTACCGCCAAGGGAAGTGGAGTTCTCGATTGATCTGGTTCATGGAACGGAGCCAATCTCTGCAACACCATACCGCATGGCACCTGCGGAGATGAAGGAACTGAAGGCTTAATTGCAAGAACTGTTGGACAAGGGATTCATCAGGCCGAGTGTGTCTCCGTGGGGAGCACCAGTCCTCTTCGTCAAGAAGAAAGATGGGTCCATGAGGTTGTGCATCGACTACAGGCAGTTGAATAAGGCTACAGTGAAGAACCGCTACCCACTACTGCGGATCGATGATTTGTTTGATCAGCTCAGGGGAGCTACAGTGTTCTCGAAGATAGATCTTCGATCGGGTTATCACCAGATCCCGGTGAAGAAAGATGACATGCCAAAGACAGCCTTTCGAACACGCTATGGACATTATGACTTCACGGTGATGCCATTTGGATTGACGAATGCTCCAGCAATTTTCATGGATTTGATGAACAGTGTCTTCCATCCCTACCTAGACCAGTTTGTAGTAGTATTCATCGACGACATCTTGGTGTATTCTAAGACACCAGAGGAGCACGCGAAACACTTGCAGACAGTACTTGGTGTGCTAAGGGAGCACAAGCTCTATGCCAAGCTGTCAAAGTGTGAGTTTTGGCTCGATGAGGTCACATTCCTTGGACATGTGATCTCCCATGAGGGCATCAAGGTTGACCCTAGCAAAATATCAGTGATAACGTGTGGAAGACTCCGAGGAATGCGCGAGAGGTGAGGAGCTTCCTCGGCTTAGCTGGGTATTACCGGCGCTTCGTGGAGGGCTTCTCATCCGTAGTGTCGCCGTTAAATAAGCTACTGAAGAAGGAGGTGAAATTTGCGTGGACAGACGCATGTCAGCACAGTTTTGAGAAACTCAAGAAGTGCCTAACAGAGGCACCGGTACTGGTGCAGCCAGTGCCTGGCAAGGATTACACAGTTTTTAGTGATGCATCGCACAGTGGACTTGGATGTGTTCTTATGCAGGAGGGTAAGGTTGTGGCCTACGCCTCCCGACAGTTGAAACCTCACGAGGGTACCTACCATACACATGATTTGGAGTTAGCAACGGTGGTTTTTGCGTTGAAGATTTGGCGGCACTATTTGTTTGGGGAGACTACCCACATCCACACAGATCACAAGAGCTTGAAGTACCTACTAACCCAGAAGGAGCTGAACCTGAGACAACGCGTGTAACGACCCGAAAACCGGCTTAGTAGTTAGCCGTTATTTTTAATAAAAATAAATACTAAAGTTATTTACTCAGAAATATGAATTATTTGTAAAGGTATAGTCAACGGTATATAGTTCGTAAAATGGGTTTTCGGATAGATCTCGTAAAATGGTGACCAACGGTATATAGTTCGTTATAGTCAGATATATGTATAAAGCGTGGTGAGTAAAATAGACATTACAGTTCAATAAAAAATATAAAGATTTTATAATATAATATTATTATTATTAAACCTACTCCTACCCAAGGTATGAAACCAAAACCCTCCCCTCCCTTATATTATATATACACGCAACACAAACCCACGCCGCACCAGAAAGAAAGGAAACAACAGAAGTTAAAAGAGAAAAGGAAAGAAAAACATATACGGAGTACTGATTGTCGCCGAAGAAGAACAGAGCCGAAGAAGAAACGCTGATCCGCTGTCACTGCTCCGTCAACAGCCGCTGACCGCCGTGCCGCTGTTGTGCCGCCGCCGCGGGGATCACCGGAAACAGCCCGACCAATTGATTCTTGCTTTGTTTAATTCGCCAATTAATCGAGGTCAGAACTTGCACATCTAACGCCAGATTATGTATATAGATTTGAAATTCACGTTCGTAGTTTCGTATGATTGAGTACGTGGTTTATTTGTTTATAATTGAATTATGATCTATTTTATGATGATATTGGAATTGATTGAACGAGGAAGACGAGGTATGTTTTCTTACTTCAAATTGTGTGAATTGCATGATTATAACCTTTAAAAATGTTATATGTATCAAATGGTTTGGATAGAATAAAAGTTTGCTGAATCTGTATACTTCTGATGTCGGATGGTAGCCTGGTACCGTCCAAACGGTACCCAGCTACCGACTCAGGCTCGTTGCTGCTGTCGGTACCTATGAGCGACGGTCGGACAGTACCGTACCGACGGTACCAAGGTACCGCCAGACGGTACCGAAAAACCGTGACGGGTACCGTACCGACCGCTGCAAATCCCGTTATTCGATTGTTTGACCCAATTTGGAACTCAAATTGACTCTGAAACCTTACGTGTTGCATGACGGTAAATGGAAGGTGTTTACACTTGACATTAGGCCGCTATTTGAATTGCTTGATGATCTATTTAATTATTTCTTTTCTCTTTTGATCTATAATGGATATAATGTGATATGCCTTAAACGGATAAAGTAAATTGAGTGGTTGTTAGCTTGGATCTGAATAATTAAAGAAAGTGAATGATGTAGGTTACCTAGAAGAATTCTAGGATTGTTTTGAGAGAATTGAGATTGTAAGTTGACAATAGGTGTAGAGCCTTGTGGACTTAGTCCAGTGGCATTCGGGTAAAGATGTACGTACATGGAATCTGAGATCTGATCCGTAGGATTGGAGGTTCCACCCAACCGGCGCCGTAGGTACCGGGTTGACCAGAATCATGGCCGTAGGTAGTGGTTCTGATGTCATAGAGTAGACTTTGAGT